CGTAGGTCTTGGATACTTTCTCCCAAATCTTCGCGGCTGTGGGGAAATGATGAACAGTTCTAGCCACCCGAGGAGTCATGGAGGCCAGCAACCAAGACATGACTGTGGCATTCTCCTTGCGCCACACGACATGTTCAGGACTGCCAACTTCAGGTTCTTTCTTGTCTCCATCCAGATAGCCGGTGAGATCATGAGAAGTAATGAACAGCCTTGCTGAGACGGACCACTCTCGGAAGTTATATTCATCCAGCAACACGTTTATAATCTGTAAACTGTGCAGATTAGGGTTTTCCAGGTTAGAGAACCTTGCGGCAGGKCTGTTTTCTCTGGAGGAAACTTCTCCGGATAGTGAGGACATGCTGACTTCAGTCTTAGAGTAGTTCGGGTACAGTAATGGAGAGAGGTTCCAGACTGATAACCAACCTGAACTTGGAGCTGTTTGACACTGTGCTATGCTGGTTTTTCTGGGGCTTCGAAGCTGCAGTTGTGGAGAAGCTCTCCCCCTTTTGGCTAGGGCTAGGACTGCTGAAATCAGTGCTCAACTAGGTCTGTCCTATACAGACCTCTYTTAGTAGCCAAATAGCTACTATTTGCTGAAAAAAGAACCTAGTAGGACATCCATTTCTAGGCCTTACCTCCCTTGAGCCCTACAACCAAGGGAAACCCTAGGTTCGAATCTGCTTTGTTCTCTTACAACCCTAGTTTTTTTCAGCAACCCAGAAAAGAAGAAGGAAGAAGATGGAAAGAACAGCAAGAGAAGAGAGAGTAGAAGCTAGTGCGCCTGCTGAAACCAAAGAGAAGCTAGTGCTCTGATACCATGTGAGCTTGAGAGCTGTACTCGAAGTAGAGGAGAGGAGAAGAACACCACTGATATGCTGTRAATGTCGAAYTGTACTRSCYAGTCGACCATGCTATTATTTATATTTGAATGTAGTACAATGATACAAGTAATTACTAGAATGCCCCTGATTAGTGATGGGAAACCCAGTTAACTTAAAACATTAAACAAGCTTAGGCCCATTAACACAGGCCTAGTTACAGGATAACTTAAACTTAAGTATGGGCTAATAAGAACTCTTATCAGCCGAACACTCATACAAAGAGACTTCATTCTAACATTCTAACAATTTTGATCCAAAGACTGGCACTCAATATGTCTCAATGGATGTCACCTTTGATGAGTTTTCTCCCTTTTATGGTTCCTCTCTGGAAGGACATTGTCCACAGGGGGAGGGTTTATCAGAAGTGTTTGCTCTTCCTCTTCCTGTCCCAATTGAGTCTTTTGATGAGTCTGCGTCTCCTTCAAATGAATCAAGGAAGGGTCAGTCATTCCATTCTCCCTATCCCAATGTTCTTCCCTCTTTACCTCCTCGTCCTACCCTCAATCCCAAGGTGTATCAAAGGCAAAGATCCAGAAATGAGCAGGTTGTTTCCCTTACAACACATGAGCCTCATGCACTTCCAGTCACAGATGAGACGACAAGTACTGTTTCAACCCCTTTGGAGCCATCTTTCCCTGACCTTGATATTCCCATTGCTGTTAGGAAAGGAAAATGGAAGTGCACTGCACACTGCATTTCCAAACACCTTTCCTATAGTCTGCTTTCCCCTTCATATTTTTCCTATCTCTCTT